TTTTTTTTTTTTTTTTTTTTTTTTTTTTTAAGAAAAAAGAAATAAAATTCATTATTTACTCTTGTACTTAGGTAAGCATAATTGTGCAATTTTTATTTCATGTCCATCCAATTCCGTTTTTAAACGAGTGTTCATATCAGGGCCCTTTTCAAATTTAAGGTACAAACTCAAATACTTAATTGCCCAAAATTCAACTATGTAAAAACACATACACCCATAAAAGACTTCGAACCCGTTGTAAAAAATAAAATCCAGCCAAACAAAATACTAGTGTGCTCATAGAGCCACCCCCACTAAACAAGAAAAATATAGAATCAAACAATACGCATAAATAATTTTTTGTTAATATGGACATACAAGTCGTCGAGTTTCCTCCGGCTTTGGTGTAAAATCTTCTCTTCCCCTCACAAGGTCCATGTACAGGGGAGGCAGCTGCTCAACTAAAGGAAGAGCTTGCTTCATTATTGGAGGGCTAAGATTTTGTAATTGTTTCATAGTCATCTCTGCCTGCAGATGCATAGAAACAAAAATACTATTGAGATTAAACTTTAAACTCAAGTCCCGGCTCTTTCATAGAGCTTAAAAAGTTACCACTTTGAAGTATAGAAATTTAGGACTTTTAAGGTGTGGTTGGCGCACCTTCTAGTTTAAGCTTTTTTCTTAAAACATTGTTAATAAACATGTTTTTATATCTTGCATTCCTTACGAGCTTTACTATCTAAAATCACTCTAAAAGTTATATTAAACACATTTTAGATTATTAATTTTTCTAAAGGTACTTGATATGATTTAGAAAACATTTTTTTTCCAAAAACTATTCCAAACTCGGTTCTAATAAGATTTGGCAGCTGCTAAAATCACAAGATTCTAGAATCTCGATACAACTACCACACTTCTACAAGGGAAATGAGAAGCAAAATAGAAGACAAAAAAGCAGAAAACCATATAATCCGATTGTCTATCAGAAAGCAGTATCCACCCAAAGCATTAGGTTTAATTTCTCAAGTAGCTAGAAAACTTATGGTAGATAACAGATGGAAATAATATACCACAATTTTCGTATAAACAAATAGGGAATTTGTAACAGGAAGCAAAATATTTAGTATATTTGCAAATCTAGCAAAAGTTTTTGAATTTTGCAAATATAGCAAAATATTTGAAATCAGAATTCTGTTTTTTTTTTTTTTTAATTCTAATTTTACCCTTCTTATTTTCATATATGCAAATGATATATTTGATTTACTACCAAAATGCATGTTTAATATATAATGGTACACCAATGATATGCCCAATTTACAACTAAGATGCATATTAAATGAATAATGATACACCAATAATATACCTAATTTATAACAAAAATGCATGTTAAAGGAATGTTGATACACCATTCTGATGCTTAAATGCATGTTAAATTAATGATACACTTGATTTACAACCAAAATGCATGTTAAAATGAAGGTTGATATATCAATGTTATACCTAAAATGCACCTTAATTAACGTTATGCCTGAAATGAGTGTTAATTAAGTGCAAATACACCAATGATATACTTAAGTTACTACTACAATGGATATGAAATAAATGTTGATACACCAATATTATGCGTAAAATGCACGTTAAATGAATTGTAAACACAAATGATATACATGCTTTTGATACACAAATATACTATCGATATACCTAAAATACACGTTTTGAAACTCATGTCGCGGGTTTTAGGGTATTACAAACTTTATTCAAACTTGGTTTAAGCTAGGCAATTTTTTTTTTTTTTTTTCTATATTTGCAAAAGCTAAAGTGGTTGCTCGATTTACGATATCTTATCAATATTTTGCTAAATCTACAAGTGTCCCAAACAAATATTTATATATGTGCGCACTGCACAGGATAAAAGTTGCATTTTTTATCCAACAAAAGCCTATTAGACCCGATCCAGAACTTACAAATCAAATTCAACGAAAAATGAATAAAAATAAATAAATAAAACTAGCTAGGATTTCAAGATAGTGAGGAATTATTATACACCCGAGATCGTAAGTGTGTATAATTCTAAAAATGGAACATAAAAAAAAAATAATAATAAACACAAAAAATATGCATGAAATAATAAATCATTGCATCACATGCATATACAAAGAAACCAAGATGAAAAGTTCACACGCAATCATTGCACGTATGTTTTAAAGTCCTGGATAGTGAAGTTCAAAGAATATTTGATCAAATATGCAAAAAATAACATAAATAAAGGTAAACATATCTTGAGTTTGAACCAATAATGTATTTTTAAATTTAATATCAGATGTTCATAAAATAATTAAATAAAATGAGCAAATAAAAACCTCAATGATGTTTATAAGAAGAAATATCAAACAGATAAAATATATTTTAATTAATAATCAAATATTATCATTCTGATTTATTAAAATAATAATTTCTTTTTCTCATAAAAATCAACGTTCAAAAGTAAAAACTAAAAAATATATTATAGGTTAAAAACTTAAAATCTCAATAAAATTAATTATTCAATCAATCAATTAAGTGTGTGTGTGTGTGTGTGTGTGTGTGTGTGTGTGTTTGTGCGTGTGTGTTGATTTTTAGAGTCCTGAATTCATTTTAGAGCTCCTGCTCTGCACGTATAGATTGAGCATGTGATGCTTTTACAGTCTTAAAGGCACCACGTGGATAAGTACAATTTTGTTCTTTTTTTTTCTCAAAGCCTGTGGAATTATACCCAGAAAGTAGAGATACAGACCGACAGGACAAGAGTGGTGAACCATGAAAACATCAACTCATGTTAGTACATGCTACAACCACTGCATAATTAAAAATTACTATTGTATTTACCCCACTATAAAATATAGCTACGAAATTCAGAATGATAAGCACTTCAAAACTACTTTTGGAAACTCTCAAGCTTTGAAGAGACGATGCACATTAATCACTAAGAACGTAAAAGATGAGAAATCTCACCTCTAGACGAAACGTCGGTGATGATGCAATTTGTGATAAGAGAGGCCCCATGCTCTGAGCCATTGGAACAAACACCGGGGAGAATAAAGGAACTGCGGAGCTTGCCTCCTGTGAATAGAGAACTTTCTGTCAATTCTCTAAAACATAAAGAGGGTGACACAGACAAAGAAACATCACAATATATGAGTAGAGTAGTAGAGTATCATAGCTGTTTTCCTGGAGGAGGAAAAAAGGCAAAAAGAAAAAAGCAGAGACAAAGAGAGGAACCATTCAAAAATTCCATTCAAATGGGAAGAATAATGGCAGTCCAGGGTGGCTTGCAAGTTGGATTACTAAAAGATTATATTTCCACCATTTCAAATGGATAGATAGATAATATTTAAGGGTAAGGAGAACACATTCCTTTCCACCATTTGCACATTAAACCGGATAGTTATCTAATATTTAATAAAATCATCCTAAAAACATTAATAATAGTATAACAAATTAATAGTATAAAAAGTAAATACTAACAATTGAAAGTAGTATTACATTACAAATAATCAACATATTTTATATTATCATAAACTTGTTTTATTAATTCATTTAACCATCCATTGCCCATTCTAGACGCCTGGACACTACTAATCACCGATACTAAGGCTCTTTCTTTTCTTTTCATTTTTCGATTAAGAAATAAACTTCTTGAATGAAGAACAAAAAGGAATAGAGGAGAGATAAAAAGTTGCCAAAACTTCAAATTAGACAAGAAATGAGTTGCCATCCAGAAACAGATTGTATCAAGCAATATTTTTTAAACACTTGTGCATTTCTTTAATTCATTCAACCAAACACCTCATGACTTAATAATAATCAGTAGTCTAAGCTTTTATAACGTTATTGCTATGAGTTTACTTTATTATCAAAGTTATCATCGTATTTCTAAATATGATCAGCGAGCATACTTCTCCTCTCAATGTAAGGTTCAGTTTTATCAGCTATAAAATTTAATTATTGAAATATTCGACACAACGTGCATTGTATTTCACGTCTTAAGCATGCACTTGCCAACGTGCTTAGGTTCTACAAAAAAAAATCATACCCCTTTAGTGTGGTTGCCTAAACACTAGTTCCAGAAGAAGAAACTATATCTGTATTTTCGAGATAATAAATACTTAAGCCAACAAATCAGAATTTCACTTAGCTCTATCCAGTCGTATACTTGAAACTCCAAATTCGTGTATATGATTTGTGACAAATATACCTTGTTATTGAATGCCATTAGTACATTTCCACTTCTTTCAACAGCATATCTTGATCCTGATGAACAGATAAGTTAGCAATCTATCCCATTTGATTGGCTGCAAACCAAATCAGTTCCTGACATGACATGAAGAGATGTTATGATACCAATCAAAAGGTGGATGACAGATCCCAGAGAATGGCCAATACCAAAAATGGGAAGATCTCGTACCTGTACGATTAACTAATCAACTTCCTTCAAGATTTTAGGAACAAATGGAAAAGAGAATGCTTCTCATCACAAAAAGAGAGAGAAAGAGAGAAAAACATAAAACTCACTGATTCGAGAAATGCCCGATGGCACCTATCAAATTTAAACTGCACTTCATCCGCAATTGAGAAATAGTCAAATCCACTGGCATAGGGTGTTGCAATGATGAAAATACCCCTGATTCATAATGTTGTTTGGTCAAATCTTCTTCATTTCTCATTAATAAGTATAAAGTCTACAAAGATCTGAAAATCATGAATTTAAATCTCATTAAACAATAAAACATAGTACAGTGAGATCCCATGAACCTGATTTCAACAACTAATATGAAATTTGATAACCATTTTAAGAACAAGTTTAACAGATCAAAGGACTATGAAGGAAGCATGATAAAAAAGTCTGGTGCCACTTAAAGGAATAAAACACTCGGGAAGACAGATACTGGTTCCACTTCCATCACAATTCAAGTATAGAAAATATATATGACCTATTGAAATATTAAATTAAAAAACAATAATGAATTGATAAAGAGAGTAGAACTAAAAGCCTCACTTCTCTGAAAGGCGCTCCAAAAACAAGCGATATGTAAGCTGAGGTGCAGCTCCAACAAAAATTCCACCAACAAAATGTACAACATATTTTGGGGTTGAGTTTCGTGGTTTAAGAACCCATGCTCCCTGAAATTTAGCAACGCAGATTAACTTCTTAAGAATTTGGGCGAAGGGGAAACATTAAATACTATTTCATAAGATTCTATCAGCTGATATAAAGAAATGCTGAAAAATGTTGTTCCCACTGGTCCTTCATGTTGTATCTTGATATGCAAACTTTAACTCCATTTTTTTAAATGAACAACCAAACTTTCATTGAGAAAAAAAAAAAAAAACAAAAGAAAGAATACAAGGACCTACATAAACAAAGCAAAAGCCCCCCCCCCCCCCCAAAAAAAA